AATTTTTGCATTTTTAGTAGAGACGGGGTTTCACCATGTTGACCAAGATGGTCTTGATCTCTTGACCTCATGATCCACCTGCCTTGGCCTCCCAAAGTGCTGGGATTATAAGCTTGAGCCACCGCGCCCAGCCGTCAGCTCAGTAATTTAAACATGTCATTGTTAAGTAAGCTTCAAGTTACGTCTTAGATCATGAGCTCTCTGGGGTAGGAGACATATCCTCTGTATATATGCAACCCTACCCCTGGTGAAGCATTAGGTGAATTTTGTATGACAACTAACCCAGTTAAATAAAACATGTGAAAACAGGGAAATACAACCAAACAAGATTTTTCTGAATCCAAAAAAAAAAAATCAAATCTCCCAAAACTAAATTCAAATATGACATTTATTTTTGTCAAAAAAAAAAAAAGTCAACATAGAACACACCCTTGAGTGTATTTTTTTCTATATACATTAGTCAGTTCAAAAAACTGTAATTAAGAACATTCTAATTGTTTTATGTGATTTTCTAAATCTAGCCCCCAAAAGCTGTTATGTATAAAGTCTCAATATTTAGGAGATAATAATCATATACTTTTTGCAATGCCTAATTTAACCAATTTGCTTTAGCCTTTTATACTTCACAATAAAAAAAGTTGGCAGGTGAGATTTTTATTATTTCAAGAAAAATACTAAAATCCTTGGAGCAAGAGTATATTAAACAAACTTATTACAAATTCCAAAAGACAAAACTTCTTTATATAGAGTAAATATTTTCTTTTTTATTTTATTTTATATGTTTTAGAGACGGGGTTTCACCATTTTGGCTAAGCTGGTCTCGAACCCCTGACCTCAGGTAATCTGCCCGTCTCAGCCTCCCAAAGTGCTGGAATTACAGGCATGAGCCATCACACCCGGCCTACAGTAAATATTTTCATTTATAAACTCAAAAGCATTCACAATCCAAATGTTAACGAGAAAGTCTTTTCATGTCCATTTCTGCACAATTTACATATTTTTTCTTCAAAACTAGGTATACTAGAATGTGAAAATATATTTTTTATGTACTTTCAACAACTTTATTATAATACACATTTCAGAAAAAATTCTTTATCCCCAAAGCACCAATTTAATATTGCTATACTACAATAAGGTTTCTACTGCTCAGTATTTATGAAAAATAATGCAATATTAATTCCATTTGTAAAAAAAACTTAAGCGCTAAAAGTAAAAATCATGATCAACAATTTTATTTCAATTTTCCATTTATAAAGTCTCTTACATGGGTTTTAACCATTTACACTTGTAAGCAACTGTTCATAAGGTATCATTCTAGTTATATTCTATTTTTCTGTTGAACAGGTAGATACCTACCCATAAAGAGAAGTACACCTATTTAGTCCTACCTCTGAAATCACAATCAGAAATACCCAAATACTTTAATAAGCAACCTGCAATGCCTAACAGCTAACTGACATAATGCCTGGAAGCTATCATCAAGGAGGCTCCAAAAACCATCTATATAAGGAGGCAATCCACAACCTCTTCCACCTACTTCCTGGCTATATGCCTAGAGAATACTGTGATGACAGCAAGCCAGACAACTATGTTATCAGTGGAGACAATTCAAATCTCTGCATTCTAAACAAAATATCAAGTCATAAAACTAACTTCTAAAGGATTACTATTAGTGAACACTAAGAAGCACCTCTCTGATTTTGTCACTGGGGAAAAAAAAAGAAGGGCCATAGCATCAAGTATCATTTGATTTACCTCCCAATTCATATAACAATGCCAAACAAGGACAGGAAAAAAGACAGATTCAAGCATCAATGCTCACTACCCTTGGGAAGGCGGGCAAATATGCCATAAGAAATTCAAAAACAAAAACTCCTGTCTCTACAAAAAATAAAAATACAAAAATCAGCCAGACATGATGGTACACACCTGTAGTTCCAGGTACTCAAGAAGCTGAGGTGTGAGGATTGCTTGAGCCTGGGAGATGAAGGTTGCAGCAAGCTGAGATCGCACCACTGCACTCCCACTAGGGTGACAGAGTGAGACCCTGTCTCCAAAAAAAAAAAGGAAAAGAAAAACGAGCAAAAACTAATTTATGGAGATACAGGTTAGAACAGTGGTTACTTCTATAGGAAGAAATTAATAAGAGGGAGCACAGCAACCTTTGTCAGTGAAGAAAGACATTCTACATCTCAATCTGGGTATTTCATTTAAAACAGACTCTAACCAGGAAAAAAGCTTGCATTCCACAGTTCTAATGTGTCTACTTTTTTACATGCTCTTCTCCCTAGGTGTAATCCAGTACCTCCTAGTACCTAGGGAGAAGAGCATGTAAAAAACTGTAAGGTACCTAGGTATACCTACATGTATAAATTCACTTAGTTGTACTTAAGACTTGGGCACTTCACTGTTATGTAAGTTATACACCTAAATAAAATTATTAAAAACAAGTCACCAATAATGACTAAATCTAAAAACGTTTTCTCCATTTTCATCCTTCTTTATCAATCTCCATCATATTGCTAATCACAGAACATCAATATTCCCTAAATGAAACCCTTTCCCTTTTGAAGATCCATAAGGCTTTGTTAGGATGTTTCTTCCAGCCTTCTCTGTAGTGTCATAAATTCTCCTAAATATTAATTCAGTATTTGGAGATGGTGTCTTGCTCTGTCACCAAGGCTGGGGTGCAGTGGCATGATCTAGGCTCACTGCAACGTCCGACTCCCAGGTTCAAGTGATTCTCCTACCTCAGCCTCCTGAATAGCTGGGATTACAGGTGTGCATCACCATGCCCAGCTAATTTTTGTATTTGTATTTTTAGTAGAGATGGGGTTTCTCCGTGTTGGCCAGGCTGATCTCGACCTCCTGACCTCAGATGATCTGCCCGCCTTGGCCTCCCATAGTGCTGGGATTACAGGCATGAGCCACAACACCCTAGTAATTATATTCCCATATACTGAATTAGGCACCCTCCAGTATATATTCCCAATCTCTCAATCTCTCTCTCTCTCTTGCTCTCACACACACACACACACACCCCAAACCACATTCCCTAAACTGGATTCAAGCCACTACATCACCTGGTTTCAAATTATATGTGCTGTTTTAATTCCCATCACTTATTTACAGGAATATTCTTCTCATGCATTTTGTTCTCAACCATCTTTTACAGTTTGGTTCAAATTCCATATTATTATTTCTGTATACCCCATAGGACTATCTATAACTGCACTATCCAATACAGTAACTAACTATATGTGGCTACCGAATACCTGAAGTCTGACTAGTCTGAATTGAGATGTGATTTAAGTATGTAATACCAACATATTTTGAAGACCTCACATGGTTAAAAAAAGAAAAAAATGTAAAATAGTTCAATCATGTGTGTATATGCTGAAATAATAATATTTTAGATATGCTGGGTTAAATAAAATACATTAATAAAATTTCACCTAGTTATTTTATTTTTGATGTGGCTATAGAAAATCTAAAATTGCATTTGTGCCTCAACTTATATTTCTGTTAAGCAGTGCTGACCTATACAATCTACTTATAAATGCCCACAAATTATCTTTTTCTTCTTCTTCTTAAACTGATAAATACCAACTGTCTATATTTATGGTGTATAACATATTATGAAATTCATATAAATTATGCAATGCTTAAACTTAGCTAATTAACATACGCATTACCTTACATAGTTATATTTTGTGATGCAAACACTTAAAAGATACTCTTCTAGCAATTTTCAGGTATATAATATTAACTATAGTCACTATATCCCACAAATTATCTCTTAACATATTTCATCTTCCCGATGAGTGCCAGAATTCAAAATTAAGCTTTTTTCCTTTACGAATTAAATATTATATTAGGACTTACTAATAGTAACTAAGTTTAAAGTGCTCATTGAATTTTAATATCCCTTTAAGATTTTTAACAAGGAAGCTTAAGGCATTTCATAGTGTAAAAATATTTTAAAAGTTTTCAGATAGCTACAAATTGAGTATGTCATATGTCATCTGTATTTTACTTATATCCAACTCTAAGTCAAACGCCCAACCAGCATGGAGAGATAGCATGACTAAACCTGTAGCAATTCAAATCTCATAAAGTGTCAGTTCTGACTGAGTCTGATTTTCTTCATCTTAATCACTCAGTAAAGAAAAGGACAGCATCCATTTTGGTTAGTATCATTGTACCAATGTCCAGCAGCCAAAACAAAGAGCCTTTATATAGTGGTCTGAATAGATAATGTGAGCAATATGACACCACTTGAAACAAGGGTTGGGAGAAAAATGTTTGCTAAGTTTTAAAACTAGGAGATGAAACAAACTGTGTTAACAAGGCAAAAGGATATATATGTAGGAAGGATGGGAAGGTAGAACAGAAAGGTCTCCTCTCTAGACCTTTCTCAAGATATACCTAGGTTACAACTTGGCTGTTCCACTATTAAGTGGATGTGTTTTGTCACATGTAAAGTGGGAATATATATAGCACAGGATTATTAAAAGAATATAGTAGATGCTTAATTAATGACAATGTCATTTGTCTTTAATACTAACAATTATATAATGGTAATAAGATTCTCCCTTCACTTTCCAAATAGCTGTAAATATTTTTCAAGCATACATGAAAAAGTTACAGTATTTCATGCTAGCACCCCTCCTCGAGTGAACTTAAAATTACTTTTATTAGCTGTCTTTGACAATTTGCTTATAAGCTTCAAATCTGTGTTTGTGCCAGGAGGTAAGTGGCAGAAGGAAAATTAAAGAGGGGGAACTGGTGACTTTAACACCACACCAGCACAGACATATACAAAACAAAGAAAAATGTGGAGAGGAAAACAGCAAAAGGAAAGCTGTTTGGGAAATTCCCAACTCAGACTATCCAATGAAAAGACCATATTCCACCCACCTCAATCTAGCTATCTACTAGCCACTCCTCACTCTCATCTTGGGTTTATGTGCACATTACTAACATGCATAGCCACTCACCTTCTTCTCCCTAATGGTCACCACCACATGGCCTCATGGTCAAAAACTGAAAGAAGAGTCAAGAAACTCAGGATGTTGTAACAAAGACAAACCAACACACTGGTTGGGAAATAACTTCATTAAAATGTACTCATTCCCAAGTGTATCTACTCATCTGCTGACAGTGCTGGAAATGCATTCCTGAAATATTTAACCTGGTTATAAGATTCTGCTGCTAAAATCAGAGAAGGCACACTTTGATGCCTACCTCTCACTTGTCTTTCTTTATAGATAGGGCTTAAAAATGGACATTAGCAAAAGTATGTAACTCCAAATCACTCACAGGTGAAAATTTCAAGTTAATGTGGAAAGAATAATTAAACAAAGGTAATAATAACTATGATTACTCTAACAGCTAACACTTTACTCAGCATTGTGTCCCAGAAAGCTAAGGACTTCACATGAATTATGTAATATAAACCCTAAACCTCTATGAAGATGGTAATTATTAATTCCACTTGTCTAGTGCTCACAGCTAAATTTGAACCCTGCCAATTTTACTTCAAGACTCAAGACTTTTAAACTTTATTACATCCTATCTCTTTATATATGCATAATTACAATTGCAATTGTGATTCTATGTGTGTCTGTCGGTAGCAAACAAAAGGCAATTAATTCCAACTCAGTGAAGGCTTTTACCCACCTTCACAAACCAACAATAAATTGGGAATCGCCCCCTCTTCCCCAATAAATAGTGCTCTGAAATACCAGTTATACAGTCATACATCATTTAAGGATGGATGTATGTTCTGAGAGATGCATTCTTAAGCAATTTGGTCATTGTGCAAACATCACAAAGTGTACTCAAACAAACCGAGGTGGTAGAGCCTACTTACACACCTAGGCTACATGGTATAGCCTATTGTTCCTTGGCTACAACATGTTCCCGAAAAGCATGTTATATACTGAATACCATACACAATTGTAACATAACTGTTAAGCATTTGTGTATCTAAATTAGAACGTAAAATACAGAAAAGTACAGTACTATAATCTTATGGGACCACCATCATAAATGCAGTCCACTGTTGACCAAAAAACATCATTATGCTGAGCATGACTGTACTTAACATCTTTCTCAAGAAACTGATGAAAAAGATACTTGTAAGTAAAATATTAATCTTTTCAAAAAATTAATTGATAGACTACAGGTAAACATGCTTTGTAAACTGTAAAGAATTTTAATCACTTTTTTAGATATTTTTTATTTTCAATTGTCTATTTGGCTCATAACATATTTATGTTTCTAGAGTTTGTACAAAGTCTTTTTTTTTTTTGAGACAGGGTCTCACTCTGTCACCCAGGCTAGAGTGTAGTGGCACAGTATCTCGGCTCACTGAAGCCTCTGCCTCCCAGGTTCAAGCAATTTTCCTGCCTCAGCCTCCCAAGTAGCTGGGACTACAGGTGTGTACCACCACACCTGGCTAGTTTTTGTATTTTTGGTAGAGATGGGATTTCACCATATTGGCCAGGCTGGTCTCAAACTCCTGACCTCAAGTGATCCACCCACCTCGGCCTCCCAAAGTGCTGGGATTAGAGATGTGAGCCAACATGCCCTGCCTGTACAAAGTCTTTTAAAAGCTGTATTTTTAACTTAAAATAAGATACACATACTGAAAGGCTAACACATAAAATCTGCATTTATCATTCTAACCCCACTTCAATTCTACCAAAATCTAGGCTACCAGAATTAAGTTCCAAGGAACAAATGACTTATCTTTACTTTTACTTACAAGATCCCAGTTCCAAAGATTCCAAACAAAATGGGAAGGCTACAGCTAGCAGATAGGAGGGGTAGGGCCAAAATTAGTAGGAGAGTGGAAAGAAAATCTCTCAGAAACGCTAACCTTAATCCAGTCTCACTTTCCCCCAACCAAGAGATGTGTGTACTGTTGCTGCTTCTGCCCAGGCAGGCTCTTCCTCCTCTTCCTCTTGAAATCCTGTTTTCTCCCTCCTGGAAAGTTATTTTCACAGGACTGTCTGTCTCCCTAACATCTCTCAACTGTCAAAGAATTTCTTACCTTGAAATTAAAAGAATAAAGATATACTAACTCTCCATAATCATATGAGAGTTCTCAGGAAGTTCAAAAAGGACAGCAACTCCTGACTGGCGTGGTGCCTCACTCCTGTAATCCCATCACTTTGGGAAGCTGAGGCAAGCAGGTCACCTGAGGTCAGGAGTTCAGGACCAGCCTGGTCAACATGGTCAAATCCCCGTAATACAAAAATCAGCCAGGTGTGGTGGTGGGCACCTGCAATCCCAGCTACCTGGGAGGCTGAAGCAGGAGAATTGCTTGATCCTGGGAGACGGAGGCTACAGTGAGCTGAGACTGTGCCACTGCACCGCAGTCTAGGTGACAGAGTGAGACTGTCGTTCCCCTGACCCCCACCAAAAAAAAAGAAAACGAAAGGAAAAAAAAGGATATTAACTCCACGATTCAACTTGGTAGATCTGCAAAAAAAAATTAGAATGCAGAAACTAAGGCCTTAGAGATAAGAAAACACCTTTGAAAGAATGTAATTTAGTGTTCTACTACCCTCTGGGTCTCCTGTGATGTTCAAGTTTGTTTTTTAAGGGGAAGAGTAGAAATCTTTTAGCCAACCAGCAGGGTGAGCTAGTGCTAGCATCACTTCCATGATTCTCAAATCTCCCAAAACTCAATGGTATAAATGGCTTGCACTATTAACAGCAGCTGTTTATTTCCTTCTAATAAACCTTAATCAAAAACACCACTTCTAAAACTACTCCAGTCAACGTCATACCTTACAACTTTAACATTTACAGATTTTCCATTTACAAAACAGACATTGTCTCTACCAGAAAGATTAATAACAAATAAATGTAAATATAAAGTTCATTTGAAGATGTATCCATAGTATTATAGTTTCCACTCTTTATTCTCTTGTTTTTATTTTACAAGGCTGCTAATGTAAAACATTTAGAACATGCTTTTAAAAACGGCTAAAACCAGTGCTCTATAGAATCATGGCTAGATAACTCAACATGCCAATTTCTACATTTGCTGCAAGCTACAATCGTCTTAAGACCTGACTGAAAAACCTTCCCACAAGAATAGGATTCACTTTTCCTTCCAGAATCACATCCTAAGAAAATGGCCTAAATAAGTAATTCTAAAGAACAGTATTTAGGACGAGAGAATAAATGGACCTGACCTTTCTCTAGATTGGAGATAAACCACCATTTCTATTCTCCTTGAAACTTCCTTTTCCCCTCCTGCTACCCATTAACAGTCTAAATTCAACCAAGACACTCCCTCTTATAACTTGAATGACAAATTAAAACTGGAAAATGTTTAAGGCTGGCAGGTGACAGACCACTTTATAACTACAAACAACCTGAAAGTGACTGTCATTATCACCAAATGAAAATGTAAGTCTACTCACATGTTGAAAATTATAAAATAGCTTATCAATTTACAAAAATCAACTTAAAAGCACCTTAAATGACCAATAAAAACTTTTAAAACCTTAAAACAATTTAAGTTTTTGCTAAGTTTGACATTTAAAGAAGTTAAAGATCACTATAGGGTCCCACCATAAATGACTGTCACTACTTGTTGAATTTCCTAACAGACCTTGCAGATACCACTCAGCAGAAGTAGTGGTCTTAAAAAGTTGTTTTAAACAAAAGGAACATTCTGAGTGGCACATTCATTTATCCAACCAAAACACTAACACAAAATGAAGGCACCATTATTTTCAGCACTGATCTCATTTCCTTTTTTATGTAATAACTAGCAATAACAGCAGTTATTTCAAACTTTCCAAAAAATTATCAAATACCTGGTTGTTGTTTTTTAACTTTTCAATTTCTGGTTCAAGATTGCTTTTGGAAAACCTTAAAATTCAAAAGCAACATTGCTCTCAAACGATCTGATATTTCTGTACTTTGTACCTGATTTTGTTTCACTGGAAGTAACTTTAGAAACCACATTACCATGTAATATGAAAATTGTTTTTTGGGTTTTTTTTGAGACAGAGTCTTGCTCTGTTGCCAGGCTGGAGGGCAGTGGCACAATCGCAGCTCACTGCAACCTCCGCCTACCGGGTTCAAGCAATTCTCCTGCCTCAGCCTCCCGAGTAGCTGGGACTACAGGGGCACACCATCACATCCAGTTAACTTTTGTATTTTTAGTTAGGTGGGGGGGGATTCATCATGGCCAGAATGATCTCAATCTCATGACCTCATGATCTGCCCGCCTTGGCCTCCCAAAGTGCTGGGATTACAGGCTGGAGGCAATGCACACAGCCAATATGAAAGTTTTTAACTTACTGCCACAGAAGTTCTCATGAATCTAATAATATTTAATTAATAAGTATTCTCATTACTTATTAATTAACCCTTGTTTTTTTAACGATTATTAGTTGTAGACATTCATCTCATCCCAGCAACATGACAAAAACAGCAATGGATAGAAGCTGAAAGGCAATTTTCCATTATGCCACTAAATCCTCTGGTCCTCAATGTATTGTAAAAGAGGAGGGTAAGAGCAGTTGTTCTTTGATACTCCTTCCACTGTAAAACTGTATGATCCAGGAATACATTTTGCTAATGTTAATGCATCTCCTATTCATTAATACAAGACTGTCCTGTATTAGAAGAAAAGCTAAAAAAGCGTATATATCTGAAAAGAAACAAGAAAATGAAAGTTTTAAGTAATGTTGAAAAACCCAAATTCCAATTTTACACAGAGACCTAAATAGTCATCTAATGTGTTTAAATATCCCTTCAATCAAGGCATTCTGTTAATGGCCAGCACAAAACATTAGATGGTTCAAAAGTATGTACTTCATTAGTTAATACCCACCACAAAATATGATATAATTGCAGTATAACTTTAATTTGTTTGAAATTCTAAGGCTTTTACAAGCAATACATACCACTGCATTAATACTAATCAAGCTTTATGTTTAATCAATTACAATATCTACGCTAGATTATAACCTTGTTATAAAAACCTTGTTATAACCACTAATTTTTTCTTAGTAAACCTATCAAAATGCAGTATTACTGTCATCAAGTTCCCTAGATACTTACACATGTCACTGAAGGCAGAGAGCCAGGTTTCCTTTATTTGAGGAACTTTAGCTGTCTATTTTTTGAAATGTTTTCCTTCTTATGGGACCAAAAAATGTTTATAACTAAAGCAAACTACTGGAGGGAGGGAATACACAATTAAAGCAAATCTACCATCCGGATGCAACAAGCGTGGAAATTAGTCAGGACTGAACAGGATAGATGATGGTGTTTTGACAGTTCTGTTGAAATTATTAACAAGACAGGACCATCATTCGCCCCCAATTATGTTTATCCCCTCATTGAGTTTGATGATCACACAAAATCTGAAGTCTAAATAGAAGTTTTATAACAACTATATTCAAGTCAGTATCACTTATAAAGTTCAGGAAAACTTTTCCACTAATGTTGCTAAACCATAGATGGATCCCAACAAGAGAGTCGTCTGTAGAAGTCTTGTAACAAGAAACCTTTAGCTCCACCACCTAAGTTTCCAATCACTGAGAAGAGTCTGGGACAACTCATCTTCAGGTTCACGGGAGAAGTGGAGCACACCTGCTTTCCTCTGGCAGAGTAAGCTCCCAGGGCCACGAAGGCCAGGGAATCAGACCTGGAGAGGCAAAAAGCTTTAGCTGGACACCCACCAAGCCCCTGGCAACCCAAACACTTCGAGCGATTTACCTCTTGCTGTTACTTCCCAGGCACCTAGCCGCATAAGATCTTGCAGGACTGGGGTGGGAAGGGCTATGCGGTCCTGTCCCAAGTAAGGGGAGGGGTGTGTACAGTTAAAGCCAGAGCTGGCGCTTCTGGCCACCCCGAGCAGCCTCAACGAGAGGGGTTGGTGACTGCTCTCGGCCCGCCCCGTTACTCAGTGCATTGCAATGGCGACCGCCAGGCTCCCCAAGCCGTCTGATCTCGGCCCCTTCCCCCTACTGCTCACTGGCTGCTCCGCTTCATGTGACTAAACAAAACCCCCAAGTCTAGTGCCCAGCTCAGCCCCTTTGTGTCCGCTACCGGATCCTCCGACGCCGCAGCGGAAAGCCCCCCCCATCCCCCCGCCGAGTCCCGCCCCGCGGCGGCGGCCGCCGCTCACCTCAGGCTCCGTGGCCCCCCGCGACCGCCGCGGCCGCCGCCTCCCCGAACCCGGGGCCCGGGCTCCTTGTGTAGCACCAACTCCGCCTCCTCGGCCGCCGCCGCCATCTTAGCCTGTGCGGCAAAATGCGTCCTTTTGGATGGTTGGGACCCAGCCTAGGGCGTAGCTCCCCGGGCCCGAGCGCCGGAGGCCGGGTCCCCCAAGTTCTTCCGCCACCCTCAGTCCCGCCGCTGCCACAGCCCAGAGGCCCGAAACCCACTCGGGTCCCAGCGAATCTGACCAAATAACCCCTGAAACTCACAGTTTGGTGCCGTGTGCGTCAAACCGGGGCGACGTTGGGAGCGCGCGGCGTCCCCGCGTCACACGCCGCTCTGTACGCTACTCGGCTCCAGCGGCCCCCCTCCGCTCCCCGCTTTTCGCCTCCAGCCCCGGTTCCCAGGGCGCAGGCGCGCTGCTTTCCCGCCTCTGCCGGGCTGCGGGCCGCGGGGGTGGCCCGCGAGGAGCTCCCGGGAAGCTTCGCGCTGGTGGAGCGTCTGGGCCAATTAGACAAATGGGGCAGCGGAAACAGTGCACCACTGTTCTCGGGTGCCAGAAACCAAACAAGGTCACCTCCCCCAGCACTGACCTAATCACTCCCAAGGAGGTTCCCGCCCCAAAGTAGGCACGCTCCAAATATGGTGGTGCCCAAATTCTGCAAGACCCAAGCACTAGGCATGCCTAGGCCCTTTAAGGTGGAACAGGCCCAGGTTTGAGTTCCACGATCACGAGCGTGCAAAAATCTGTTATTTTTCTCCTGTTGAGGAAAACAGCCGAAGAATGCAATATTTGACAATCACAACTGGAGTAATGGCAGAGGGAAGGTTTTAAGATCTTAAGAGGGCAGATTGTTGGGAGTTGCTTGATGGCCACGCAAAGCATCAAGTGTGACATCTGTTACCCGGACAGCCTACCCTAAAAGGTGGCCAAGGTTTGCTCCAGTTTGACTCTCTGAGGATACTCTCCCTGTGCTACTGAAAGTGTCATGGGTCTCCGAATTAAGGTTATGTAAGAAGCACCTGAGATGCTGGTTAACACTTCACAGAATCAGTAGGTCCGGAGAGGGTTTGGAAATTTCCACTTTTAACAAGCCTTTATTCACCGCAGGATCTTGAGGGCAGAGAAACACTGATTGGGATTATTCTTTCGCTTTTCAATTGAGCCAACAAGAAACTGCTAACATGTTTAAGATGATCCAAAAGTTCTTGAGGAAACTACTGGTCCCGACTTAATAGATTATTTGGCTTCTCTGAACCTCTGTTTACTCATTTAAAAAAAAAAACGTTTTCCATAGTAATACAGCTGTCATTACTGTGCCCCTCCACACCCTCAAGATGTTATTGACATTCAGAAGAATATTCCAAAACTGCATTTATTTGACAAGAATAAGAAGCATTCTCTTGCCTATAGAATGGTGCCTTCAGCAGCAACAAACATGGATTCCAAACAACAAATATTTGACTAAATACATTAATTGCTTCATTTCTTAATAATAATAGCTAACACTTTTGAGAGCTTACTGTGTACCAGGCATTGTTATAACTTGTTCGATTTCGTTATAACCCAATGAAACAAAAAAAGGTGATTTTCTCAGTCACACAGTTCCTTGGGCTCCTTTAAAATGCAAATCTTCCATCTTCATTTACACTAATGTGTCAACAATAAAATATAAATATATATTTGCAGTCAATTGGGGAGGGGTGCCCTTCAGATCATTTCATTTGCAGAAGCCATTAAAATTGGACATTCTTAGTTTACTATTGGACTTATAACAAAAATATTTTGCACTATGGATATTCTCACATTATATCACTATAAAAGCAGTTACTAACAAAATAACTCTGTCATAAATGTACACCACTAACGTGCAGACAAATCACACATGCAAATAGAACCACTCAGAATTCAGCCATGATCAGGAACTTGTCTCACTAAGGAAGCTGTTTTTTATATTAGAACTCAGCAACTGAAGTGTAATACTGTAGAAATCATAATAGCAGTGGAAGTAATCACAGTAATTATAATAGTATAAGTAGTAATAGTTGATGAAATGCTGTATAAACAAAATGGATCTCAAAAGCTGTCTATGAATGGGAGAAAACATAATGACAAAGCTTGAGTAAGGTAATGCAAAAAAGAAAAAAGAAAATACAGGCAACTGGAAAAATCCAAAGACCAGTTTTTTTGTGGCTCAATGCCAAAATATTTAAGGAAATCACCGTTGAGAATGAAAGTCAAGATGTGCAAAACAATTTGACTCTGGGAGAAAATTCATAACACACTGTGAATAAAATGATGCTCTGATGAATACACTTGGTGAATCTTTTAAAGAAAGAAAATGCAAGATGGTTTTTGTTGTGGTTTTTAAACTTTTGTTTTAGGTTCAGGAGTACATATGCAGGTTTGTTGTATAGGTAAACTCATGTCACAGCAGTTTTGTACAGATTATCTCATGACCCAGGTACTTAGCCTAGTACCCAGTAGTTATTTTTTTCTGATCCTCTCCCTCCTCCCACCTTCCACCTTCAGGTGGGCCCTACTGTGTGTTGTTCCCCACTTGTGTCCCTGTGTTCTCATCATTTAGCTCCCACTTATAAGTGAGAACATGCAGTATTTGGTTTTCCATCCTTGCATTACTTTGTTGAGGATAATGGCCTCCAGCTCCATCCATGATCCTGCAAAGGACGTGATCTCATTCTTTTTATGGTGGCACAGTATTCCATGGTGTATATTACCGTATTTTCTTTGTCCAGTCTACCACTGATGGGCATTTAGGTTGATTCCAAGTCTTGGCTCTTGTGAGGTGGTGCTTCAAGGAGCATACACATACATGTGTCTTTGTGATAGAATGATTTATATTCTTTTGGGTATATACTCAGTAAAAGGATTGCTGGGTTGAATGGTAGTTCTGTTTTCAGCTCTTTGAGGAATTGCCACACTGCTTTCCACAACAGTTGAACCAATATACACTCCCACCAACAGTGTATGAGTGTTCTCTTTCTCTGCAACCTCACCATCTGTTATTTTTTGACTTTTTAATAATGTGGCTACTGTTAATATGTTAAAATCTGACCACATTAACGCAGTATATTAATCCATTATTTACTGCCAGTGAATGGAATTACCTGATGAAAAACAAAATAAGTCGTGGTCTCAAATGACTTGCTCAAAAAGAAAACTCAATTCAGTGTTGGATAAAAACAAACAATTTTCCTCATTCCAATGCTTCTTAATTCCAAGCAAAAAGAAAAAAATGAAACAATAATTAGTCTACTAGTAATAAAGTCAAATCAAGTTTGGATTTGGCTCAGTATCCCACTAGTTCTGGAACAAGCTCTTAATACCAAAACTGTAAAGCAAGTCACTCTTGTGGAACTGCAGGTAGTTCAGTATGTCTGTTCACTGGAGTCAGGGTAGGGAGGATGTGTGGAGTAGAAACAGAGACGATGTAAACAGAAACCAAGTTTTGTGTTTATTTTTGTCCCACACTGACCTGAGCACAGAGCCTTACACATAGCAGGTATGCAATAAATAATTTCATTCAGTTTAACCAACATTCATTCATTGATTGTTTACTCTATGCAAGGCACTGTATTAGGCACTGTCAGAAAAAAATGAATAAGACAGTTCCTTGAGGCTATTCAATATACTGTTGAATGAATGTAGTGCTTTTATAGTTCAAGGAAAGAGCTAGACAAAAAGGTACAATCAACTCTCGATTCACCAGGGAATGGAGGAGATAAGGAAATAGATAAATCTCCAAATCTCAGTTAAATCTCAGTTAAAGCAATAGCTCATAAAACTACTACAAAATAGATTTAGCATACACATATTTAATGAAAATTATATCTAATATTCAGGAACATATTTGCTATTCTTTTCATCAGCATATCATTATGCATGCCCCTTGGAGGATGTGAAGGTAAATAGAACACACTCAGCTCTCAAGTATTTTATGGTAGAATAGATCAAAAGTCACATGTTCACTTGCATGTGCAACTTGCATGTTAAAGTTGACAAAGAGAGAGATGAGCTTATCGTTCAACTGGTGCCCCATCTAGTGATAATAAAGCTGTGGTATCATTTTCCTCCAGAGTTTGGCTTTTAGCTTTGCAGGTTGAGAATCAGTTGAACCAGAGTTGATCAAGCTCGGATAGATGAAATGTGTAAGAGACTAATGAGTAAATCAAATGCTGATATATTAATTTACGGTAAAATTTTTGACTGCCAAGCATAATGGAATATTTAAGCAGATTGGTCAGCACATTCCCTCTCTGTAGAGAAGGGGGCTAGGAACACCAATTTACTTGCTTGATGAGCATAGAATTAGATGAACATGATCACAGCAGAAGGTATCATGAAACTTTGATAGCAAACTGCACTCTGCCATGATGTTGTATCTGTCAAGGGAACTTGGACTGTTTAGTCTACTTTCACCAGGATAATAACTCTTATTTTCTTTAAGATATATAACATACAAACCACAAAAAGATAAAGTATATATAATCCATATTGCCTCAGTTCTATGACACTTTTTTAAAATGTAATGTTTCAATCAAACTGTGTCTTACAATCATAATTTGCTATTAGCAGTTTTTTCTTTCATAGGGGTTGATAAAATAATGGCACACCTTTCAGTGATATCTTAGAACCTAATGGAATACGATAATTGCATGACATTTTTTAAAACTCCCTTTCCTCTGTTTTGGTAAATTGACTTTCCTAAACATAGCGGTTGCCCCACTACATCATTACTTAGACAGTCTAAGTTCAAAAACTATGTCAAGCTTTATTTTCCTCAATTCATATTCTGATCAGGCTGTCGTAATTGAGCTAAGTTCCCAAGGGATACAGGACACTGGAGGATAGTTCATCCACAAGTGTATTCTTAGCTTCTAAAGTAACCCAGACTTGGCTGGGTGCAGTGGTTCACGCCTGTAATCCCAGCACTTTGGGAAGGTGAGGCAGGCGGGTCACCTAAGGTCAGGACTTTGAAACCAGCCTGGCCAACATACTGAAACACCATTTCTATGAAAAATGCAGAAATTAGCCAGGCATGGTGACGGGCGCCTATAATCCCAGCTACTCAGGAGACTGAGGTAAGAGACTCGCTTGAACCCGGAAGACAGAGGTTGCAGTGAGCTGAGATTATGCCACTGTACTCCAGGCTGGGCAACAGAGTGAAACTCCATCTCAAAATAATAATAATGATAATAATCATAAGGTAACCCAGATTTCACTGGGTTTTATCATCACTTTTTACTGCAGAACCCTTAAAATGCCTGCAAAATCTCTTAAGGGGGCATTTGTACTTAGGAACAGGTGCTCTTAGCTACCTCATTCCCTCTCTGATTTGGCAAGCCATCCGCAGTGGCTACTGATGAGCCTTCTGCTGGAAACAGCTGAGTTACACATGGCAGCACCATTTTATTGCCAGACACCAATATGGCCATAGTGAACAATCTAGAATACATATGGTACTAAGTAAGCCTTTATTGGAGCCCCTAGTCTAAGCTTTTACTTTCATGGACTCTTTTCTAAA